TTAAGCCGGCGCGGCATATTTCTTTGAGTACCTTTAATAATAACTAATTAATTGTAAGCTGTTGAAAAAAATTCACGTTTAGGTATAACTAGCGGCTAAATTTGTTAAACGACTTTGTTGCTGTAGACGAATTTGTGTAAGTCTAAGCAAAAGCTTAGAAAGTTATGACGTGAATGTTTGACTTGACTTTGACTTAAAAGCTTTTGGTTTTTTTCTTTTTTAATTGAGTAAGAAATTACATGCGCTTGAAAAGACCTGCTGCACTTTTAAATTGTATGCATTAAAATAGCAGCAAATCTATATTTATACATAGGTTACCTTTTATATTGCGGAACTTGGCAACGCTACTATTGCAATCCGGCAACTCACAACTTCAACGTAAAGCTTGACATTTTTGTTGTTATACATACAAAGAACATTTTGAGATACAAGCGCTATTTGCAGTGTTTACAGTAACTTAAAATATTCAGCTCGGCCAAAAAATTATATTAAATTGCTTACAATTTCGCGCAATTATTTTTCACGAATTTCGACTTGGATTAACATACATATAAATTTAAAAAAATTAGCAAAAAAAAGCATCGATAAATTTAATTAAATTCTTGGCGTTGAAGCTCCAACAATGAAGAGTGTTTATCGCTGTAATGATGAATTCAAACGTGGTCGTAGCTCACTCCAAGGCAAATGTCTTGAAGGTCGACTCATATATAATATTATAGAGTTGTGTTTAACAATTGAGCTGCGCAGGCTGCTCCGCTTTGATTTTCGCTATTTTTTCGGTCTACACGAACGCAAAGTAATCGTCAGTTAACGGTTTGAATTTAGCTGTTTATATGTGACAGTATATCGGAGCGCCTCATGGTATATGTATATATATTTCTGCATTTTAAGTCAAGTTCAGTCAAGTTATGTGCGCCTAATTTACGTTTTGGCAAGTTAACTTCATTTCAGCATTACAAATTCCCACACATAGTTCAAAATATGTACCAAAATACTAACTAACATACCAACATACCTGCATACATACACGTACGCAACTACAATTTATGTGATTATTGCATTAACAGCGAGCATTTCGTTACCTGAGTGTAGTCAACACAGTGCTAATTTGTTATTAATTTTTTAATGAAGTCATATATCAATGTATAAATTGTTACAGTTACGTTTAACACTAACTAGCTTAGGTTAGATGGCTGCTGTCACAAGTTGGTGTGGCAGCACACTTAGACCAGCGAATGTTAAGAAATGGAGAAGACGCAAATTCGCTGCTTAAACTGTTATGTACAGTCATTATTGCAGCCAGTTAAAAATTGCTGTTGTTTGGTGAACAGCTAACGGCAAAGCGTGTTGTACCTATAACAAAAGTGCTTAGGCGCTTACTGGCTGTTCCTAACCAACGCTATTGTAGCTGCTTGCAAAGTGTAAATTTACTCACAACACATAAATATATTTGTACAAACGATAAGCAATGCAAATACGGTATTTATTACATACATACATACACACAGCTTATTTAAAATATTTAAACTAAATTATTTGTAGTTGTAAATTGAAAATTATATTTCAAAAATATGTATTAAATAGCAAATAATGCAAACTGAATTAAATGTTATTAAAATATCACAAACTTTTTTAATTAAAAAATAAAAAACAAATTTGTAAATAATAACGCTGTAAATAACTGTAAAATACCGCTGAGGCAGCCGTGTTGTAAGCGAGGCGCTTGCTAAAACCGTTAGCCGCTTAAGATCCATGTAAAAATAATTGAAAATAATTTATAGAATTTATATATATGTAAGCTAAAATGTTTATAAATACTAAAAACGCTTAACAAATTCGTCAACTACGCGCGCATACGAAAGTAGAAAATTGCTAGCAGAAGCGTAAAAAGGCAAAATATGAACTAAAATTACGAGGAGACTAAGTGAAGCTTATAGCAGTAATTACAAAAAAAAAACATTACGAATATTTAGACATAAGCGCATTGGCGTTACATACACATACACATGTACATGTGTATGTATGCGTGTTTTTCTTTTCGTAAGTTTTCCTTGCAAAGCCTTAAATTTGAAAAATATGCAAAAATTGTGCAATTAATTAAATTTATTTACTACTAAACACATGTATTTAAGCATTGTTTCCGCGTGAAATGATAAGCAAAACTAAATTGTAAATAACAGTAAATTAGCAGCCAACACGTGACGCAAACAAACGAAATTTTCAAGCAAAAATTGTGCTGCAGAGAAAATTGCACGGTAGCGTCTCGAAAATGCATTGCAACATTAACTAGAACATGAATAAAAAAACCAAACAAAAAGAATTCTTAGAAAAATACAAAACAAAAACTTAGAAAAATTTAGTGAAATACCAAAAAATACGCTTTTATACGCCATTAACACTATACAAATATCAATTATTTTTTAATGAAACAGAATCTCACGCAAGCAATGCCGTACGCCAACGCGCATGGACGGTGTCGCACAGAAACCGTTAGTTTGCGTATGGTCGTACAGCATACGCATGTCAAGCGAACGCGTTGAAGAGTTTTCTTTGAAATATTTGCAAACAAAAAGTAGTAGAAAATTCCTAAATACACCAGATATGCATTGAAGAACTAGAAAATTTTTACTAAAACACCGCAAAAGCTCGCTACACACTCACCACTAACTAAATAAATGAATAAGTCAGTATAATGTCAGTAACAAAAACGCATGCTAAATGAAGAAAATCTAGAAAATATATGAATAATGCAAATACATACATACATAAAGACACATTTAACGGAATAACTAAGATATTATATAAATTTTACAACTCAAAATAATGCAATAAAATTTAAAAAAATATGAAAGAAAAACAAAGCTGCTTCTTAATATCAAACACAACGGAAATATATACACGGTAGTATTGAAAAACTAATATTAACAGTTGAAATAAGAAGAAACGCTAACTTCGTTTGCACCGCACCTATTATACCCTACAGAAATACAAAAGGTTCCTTACAAGTACTCTGATCCGTCAGTTTGTATGGCAGCTATATGCTATAGTGATCTAATCTGAACCATTTCCTCGTAGGTTGCACCCTTTGTGTTAGGCTTTAATTCGTGCCAAATTTCGTGAAGATAGCTCTTCAAATGAAGAAGCTTTCCATACAAGCACTTGATACCGATCGTTCAGTTTGTATGGCATAGTTCGTAGATATACAGACGAACATGGCTACATAGACTTAGCGCGTCATGCTGATCATTTTTATATTATATATACTTTATAGGGTCTCAGACGTTTCTTTTTGGGTGTTACAAACATCGTGGCAAATTTAATATACCCTGTTTAGGGTGTAACATTCTGAGGGTGAGTATTTTAAGCAAATTTTTCGGTTATGAATACCTATATTGCAAAACCGGGACTTGTAAGTAAATCTAGTGTGAATAAAACTATTATCTAAAAGTTTTTCAAAAAGTAATTAAGCCATTTCTCTTGCAAGCTGTCAAGGGAAGAGTAAACCAGCTATTCAACCTAGCTAAATATAAACAAAAGTGTCATTGACCTTGGTTGAAGTCTTTGCTAAATGTAAACAAAACAATCAGTGTTTTCGCTAAAGTTAAAAAAAAATGCACATTGACATCGGATTTTTGTGTGCGCTCAAGGTAAAGCTAAGTTACTCACCAAAGTACATACAAGTACAAACCGAAATATAGCAACTGAGAAAATCTTTCTCTCATTAAAATTATAAGAACGTAGTTTAGGATATCAAGCTTCTAAAACTAATAAAAATATACCAGAAATAAAATAAAAATCACAAAATTTCGTTTTTATATAAAGTGGCACCACTGTCAAGCGTTATAAAAAATACATTTGACAGCTCGCTCTCGAATCGAGCAGTAACTTATGGTATATTAGCTACAGCCTAGTGGTCGAAAAATGCATTTCGTAAATAAACTACAAAGCCGCTTTGATATTTCGCTTTCATGAGCATATTCGCCTTAGTGAATACGCATTAATATTATATATGGCTATGTGCCAAGGGATCAGCATAAAATTAGAAAGATGAGAGCGCGAGCGAAATGAGCGCCAAAGTAGAAGAAAAAACACTCAACGCATAAGCGTATAGCTCAATAGCAGCAAGACAGGTATGAGAAGTTTCGTTAGCACATATCTATGTAAATATCTCATAGAGCAATGATAATGCTGTATTGAGCTTCAGACAATTCTTGGATCAGATCGAAAAAGCAAGTAGACGCAGTTAAGGTGTCCGCTAATAACAATTTTATTATAAAGAAATTAATGCAGTTTGAAATAATTTATTAGCGCATAAGCTAATGTCTAATTGTATGCAAAACAAAATATTTTTACTGAAATCTTTAAAATATTTGCTTAAAAGTTGCCTGCTTGATCTCAACAGAAAGGCCGGTCAACATGCTGGTCTCAGAAGAGAGTTGAGCGCGATCAAGTGTGCTGTTGAGTTGTCACTAGCAGATAGATGGGAACAACGCAGAGAACAAATGCACACTTTGAGTGATTAGTAGCTTAGTGAGCGGCGCCTGCGTTATGTTTTTTTCGAGAGTTCTTTAACTTGCAGTGCTCGAGAGAGACGACGCGGCGACTGTAATGCGAAACACGCAGGTAAAGAACGACTTATGAATGAGCTATGGCAAAGACAAGCAATATGGCAAATGATTTGCTCGCTCAATAATTATTTAGAGACAGTATTTTTATTAATTAAATGACGATGTGCTAAGAAAGTTGTGCAACTTATGCGATAACTGAGTTAGACTGATACGCAATTAGACACACTGTGTGTAACGTGCGTTCCATAAGAATTTTTCGAATTAACCTCCGCTTAAAGCAATATTAAGTCGAGTTTAGTATAAAGTCGGGTTTACAGTGGGAGCAGGCGTCAGGGTAATATTAGTAAAATACATGTATCGCATAGCTGAACCATTGCACGTGAGCGGGGTAGTAACGTAGATGCATAATTTGGTCTTGCAATTATTCAGAGACAGTTCAACGAATAGTTGGTTGATTAATGAATGAATGGACTAGGCGAATGCGGCGTTCATGCTCACCGGCAATTTTGAAAACACACAGAAGACAGTGCATACCGGCATGTGGAGCAAAACAACTCAAACTAAGCCAACGCCACTGCAAGAAAGATACACACCGACGAAGAGCAGTCCCAGCAGCGACCAGCAACCAGCCTGTCCGACGAGTTTTTCTTCGTTTACTTACGGCCGGTCGCGCGCTCGCTCCCAACGCTCAGCCGGTGAATGCGCCAGTGGAATTGAGTTAATTGCGGCTGTGAGCTGATCGGTCTTGTGTTGTCTGTCGCGGCGATTTAGTTCTGTTTGAGACGCTTGGTGAGTTAGAAGTGCGCGCGTATGAAATTCACGTCACGTCTGAGACAACACCAGTCAACCTAACTTACACGGGTGCGTGCTAAATGCATTGTAGCGAATGTTTTTGTGTCGCGCTAAACAACAACCAAAACGCTAATAAATATGAAAATGAGACTTGCCGCTGACTGTGCGCGCCCAACGTTGCATTTCGTTTTGTGAAAGAAATTTTCTCAATTTTGTAAGCGAATTCTTTATAAATAAGCGAAGTTGCTGCGCAGACAGGAAGCTAGTGAATGTTGCTGACTTTGTTGTTGCTTATTGCTATAGTTATAGTTGTTGTTATTGTTGTTTGTGGCTGTTGAGCACTCACGCGCCCAGCTGTGTCACATCGGTTGCCTGGCTGCTGAGTGCCAAAGTGGCGTGCAGATTTACGAAATTGTTGGATTTTTGTTTATTTTTAGACGCTGCTCGAAAGCAGCGAAATCAACGAAGGCAACACGAATGAGTGACACAAAAGTGAAGGTACATATAAAAACAAAAGCAGAAAATGCTATATAGAATGTATTATGAAGTGGCATAGACTAAGAAATGAGCAACGCAGAATATAAGATGTGTGGCAGACAGGCAAAAAGATTAGGCGAAAGGAGTGTAGCTAAGAAACGAGTGAAGGCATAATAACAAAGCGACACGATCGGTGAACTAAACGGATGATAGCAGCAGCTAGCTTAAATTCACTGCTTAGTACTGGTTGATGTTCTTGAAACAGCTCTAACTAGACCTTAGTGAACACAAATTTAAAACTTATTTTGTCTAACAGTGTCCTGCGGTGTTTGAGGTTATCAAATTTGAGAAATAGACAGGAACAGCTCGAAATGACAAGCAAAAGAACTGATTTAGAGTCATAACTCCTGCTAAGGTGGCACCAGGCATATTTATACAGCGAACCCTAATATACCCTAAGTTTTCCACGTTTTTTGTAACACACAAAAGAAAACGTCAGAGACACTATAAAGTATTATATATACATATATAAATGATCAGCGTGACAAGCTGAGTCGATTTAACCATGTTAGTCTCTTTGTCCATCCATCCGTTTATCTGTATATATGCGAATTAGTCCCTCAATTTTTGAGATATAAAACTTTGCACACGTCTTTTCCTCTTCAAGAAGTCACACATTTGTCGGAACGGCCGATATCGAACTACTATAGCATACCTATAGCTGCCATACAAACTAGACGATCGAAATAAAGTGCTTGTATGGAAAGCTTCTTCATTTAGATATATTTTCACCAAATTTCGTGTGGGTAGTTGTTTAAGTCAATGATGCAATCCCTGTAAAAATTATTTAGATCGAGTCACTATAGCGTATAGCGGCCATACAAACTGAACGATCAAAGTTCATGTAAGGAGTATTTTGTATATATGAAGGGTATTATAGCTGCGGTGCAACCGAAGTTAACATTTGTTCTTGTTTTATTTGAAAGACTTGTGTTGAAGTCTCAACAGTCTTGCGACACAACTTTTTAAGCCACTGAGAGCTCCGATTTTAGTAAGATAGTATCTCTCTGAACTTCTTTGAACCAATCAAGTTACTGATTTTACTGAAATAATGCCGTAGAATAGTATACACTTTTGATAATGCATTAAGTTCCAAGTGATTGACGGTCCTTGAACCACATATGTTATGTGGTATATGGCGGTTTTAGAGAGACGAAAGTTTTTTTTTCGACAAATTTATGCGTGTACCGAGAAATGTTGCCTAGAAAAGTCAATTAGTTAAAAATGTTGCGAACTTTTTTTGCTTGCTTTATTTTATTAAAGAAAATTTCTAAAATCTGCACATATGTAGATATGTATGTCTATATAAATCAACATTTTATATTTTAATGATTGCTAAAGTAAATACAACAACAATCACACAGGCCGGGCGCCAAACCAAAGACTGCGTGAATTCTTAAAAATATAATTAAAAAATTAGCTGATAATCAAAAATACTTGAGGTAAACAATGAAAGCAACAACAACAACAACCTTAGGTAATAAAAACAACAATCAAGCATAAAACAACAACGATTGGCATAGGCGCACGCACAAACATAGCGAGGCATTGACATAAAGAGTTTGCCGGCTTCAAAAAATTAAAATAAATGCGAAAAATTAAAAAAAAAAAATTGCCAATAATTTTAAGTTACAAAATGTGGCATGCGGCCAATTAAAAAAAAAAATTAAACTCGTATGCAAATCTTTCTTTGTAGGCTTTATGTAGCTTTCAGCAAATATTTACGTTAATAAATTACGCAAAAAACCGGCGACATAAACCCCAATAATAATGGCATTAAAACGGCGGCAACAGCAGCGTTAGATAAAAAAGCCACATAAAAACAAAATACATACAAAATTAAAAAAAAAAATTTATATAAAAAAATATGAAATTCCGTTAGAAATTTTGTGAAAGAAATCGATAAAAAAATACGACAGCTACCTTTAGCAACGCTTTTTTACTGTATATTACTTGTGTGTTGGTGCGTGTTTAGCGTGTGAAACCTGACAAGTGCAAGTGTACTTGAAAAAATTGTGTAGGAACGCATGCGCAACCCCCAAATGGCTGTGCTTTTGCTGTTGCAAGGGTTAATGAAAACATTACCAAACGTGGCAGAAAAACAGTGAAAGATTTTGCAGTTGCACTGCCACATCTACATACATCTACATCTACAGCGAAAGTATTGCAGGCTTGCAAGTCAACATTACGGAGTAAGCTGAAACTGCAAATAACTTATTGCGGGTAAGTTAAGGATATGCTAACAAGCGCTTTTAGAAAGGGCTTGGAAAAAAATTCAATTTCCTAGCATTAGTTACCGTCTAAGTCGAAAATTCCTAGCGAACACACACACACACAGCCACACGCAAAAACGCAATTAACAAGCTTTCGCCGAAAATCGCTCAGCAATGCAATTTGCAACCAACGCACAGCACATTTTCACTACAGTTGCACATACATAAAAACGCTGGCTGCGACTGCAGTAATAGCCACTACTTTACTTGCGGGGCCGCTTGTATTGCGTACAACACGCCGCCAATTGCCTTTTACCTCGCTACTCGCTTAGCGGCTTTTGCGCTTTTTGTACGTTTTGTAACGGCGCTGTGTGGCAGTGAAAAAGCACGCTGCCGACTGCGTGTTGTTAACCTGTTCAACTCACTAACGGTACTTTCGAAAAGTATTTCAATGCGTCAGCGCGCGGCTGCTCAGCAGCTCACCTGCTTGACAGCTCGGCCGTTCGGTTGTTTGGCCAACACCCGCTCCTGCCGCATAACAACAGCAATTGCCCCACTTACGTGCCCATTTTGCGACGCTGCTAAATACTGGTTTAATTTGCCCATTTTTGGTGCGCTTTGCACGCTCTGGGTTTGGTTCGAGCACCATTTCCACTTTGTCATCGTCCGCGTCGTCATCAACAGCAGCAACAACATCATCATGCATCCATTCATCCAAGTCCGCGTGGACTTGTTGCGCAGCTTGCTAAATTTGGTCTTGCAACTGGTAGACAAAGAGCGCGAGTCGGTGGTATGGCGGTCTTTAGTGACCACCTAGCATGCCTGTACATATGTATTGACGACAGTATACAGGACGTAGTAGTGGCACAAACCATCAGTTACTATTCCGGCTCGGGTTTTGTGAATATAAACTGACTTGTTTTGCACCAAAGTCTATACTTTTGTTAGCTATTTTCTGCTGCAATATTTTTGGTTTTATTTTACTTTGAGCGGATGTTTTAATAGCTGATTTACGCAGGAAGTATTCGAAGTTTATTATAAAAGCTGAGCCATTTTGATATTTCCTACTTTTTTTAGGAAAAAACACAGAAAATTCATATTTAATGGGAAATGTTTAGTATCAATCGAAGGAACATTCTTTGACATTTATTTTTTGAAGATTATCTCTTTCAAATGTTGGCCGCGGCTATGTCTCAGATGATCCATCCGTTGAGTGCAATTTTCGATGACTCGTTCGAGCATTTTGACTGATAACAAGGCCTAACTCGAAGCGGAATTGTCCGCATAGCCTTTAGACTTTTCATATGCCCAATAGTCTAATAGTCTTGGTGGCCAATCGACCGGCCCAAAACGTGAAATTATCTGCTCACCGAAGTTTTCGCTCAATAAATCCATTAATTGATGCGTTGTCGCCGTCTTGTTGAAACCACATGCCACCGAGATCACGAGCTTCAATTTCAGGCACCAAATAGTTGGTTATCGAGGCGCGATAATAGTCGCCATTGACGGTTACGTTTTCACCGGCATCATTTTTGAAGAAATATGGACCGTCGATTTAACCTCCCACAAACCACACCAAACCATTTTTTTTCGGATGAAATGGCAGCTCTTTAATCAACTCAGTTTGCTCTTTGTTCCATTTGCTGCAATTTCGCTTTTTTACATAACCCTTGAACCAGAAATGGGCCGCAGCGCTGAACAAAATTTGGCTTGAAAACGTCGCATCTTCTTGGAACTTTTCAAGTTTCCAAGAGCGTCTTCAGTTTTTACACAAACAGTATTTTGTACGCTTTCAACTTAAAATCTAAACGTAAAATGCGCCAGGTTGTTCCATACGTCAGTCCGAGTTGCTGCTAAAGGGTGCCAAATCGACTCTCCACGGTCTTCCTGTACACTCTCAGCTATATTTTCTTCACTGATATACTAATCAAAAGTAACATGAGAGCTTAACACTACTGACGCGTGATATGTCAAAAAAAGGCTATTGAAAAAGGTACCTCTACTTGGATCACCCGTTATAAATACATAGAGCTATTATACATACACACGTATACCTTGTTTGACCTTGATTATTTTAAGGATTTTTTTTGTAGGAGACCTTAATAAACTCGCAACAACTTTTTCCCGAATACTATGCACATATAAAGAAATAGTTTAATAGCTGCCGCACTACCACACTTTCTGCAAGTGGAACAGAGTTCTCTTGCGGACTTTGGACTTGAGTGTGACCTACAGGCGAAGTGAACCGAAGCTCTACTTGCCACATACCTCATAAAAGCACTCACGAAGCATATCTAAGTTTCGTTTGAAAATTTATAGTTCTATAGTTAGATTCTGTCTCTCACCTTCCCCTGCAGCACGCTGCAGCTGTGTTGCAATTGATTAGGAAAATTAGCTTTTGCCTCAAGCGCTTATTCGCCAGCAAATCGCTTGTTTATTTGCATATTTGTCACATTCGCAACATTTGCCAAAGCGGTGGGAGCACATTAGGCAGCAACTAGACCAGAACGACGAACGGAATGCGCCACAGCGGTTCCCATGAAGCAAGATTAATTTCATACATTTCAACGTCATCGAAACATTTCCGTTGGGCGTTGCAGCAAGTCGCTGAAAAAAAGACAAAAAAACGGGGAAGAAGTTGCAGTTAAAGCAAATGGTGGCACACATACACATTAACACATTACCAGCGCTCCCCATATGATGACAAGTTCCATGCAACAACATGAGGCGAGCACCAACAGCAAGCACACGAAGCACAACGTAATAAAAAGCGTGTAAAAAGAAAGACGTGCCAGAAATAGACACAAACACACAACCACATTGCTATATACAAGCCGAAGTAAATAAATAAAATATTGAATCTCAGCGCACACCGTCCGAGGCAGGTATGCCTGTTAGTGCTGTGTTGTTGCATGGTGCACGTTGTTGTGCTGGGGAAGTTGATAACATTGAAATGAGTGCAAGCAAATCAAAACCTGACAAGAAACAGGCCGCAGGAAGAATATGAAGCAACAGAAAAACATCTAACAACAAAAAAGCGCAACTTCTAACAAGCAACACACACATGCATACCACAAGCAAACCAATAAAGGTAGTAAGCCAAGGTAACTCAGTGCAACGAACAATGCAAACGACTGCAGAGCAAAGCGACGGAAAAAGGGTCGGCGCAGGCAAAGGAAGCAGGCGCACAGCTCAGCTACGCGCATACTTTGCTATACCTTTAAGGCCAGCGGACGGTCAGGCAGCAAGCATTTGGGTGTGCTTGTTGTTGCTGGTCTATGCACGATGGCGAGCGAAGCGACAACAACAAGGCAGCGGTGGCCTTCAAATGCGCGATCGGAGCCATTTTTTATGTGAAAGAGATAAAATGCAACTAAGAAAGTAAGGAGAAGTGGAGTTAGCGCACAACGACAAGCCTAACTGGCAGGGTAAAATCTCGAACGGCGTTGCCAATCCTTGAAAAAGTTGGAAAGTAAAAAAATATTATTATAATGTGGCTACTTTTAGTATGGAGCACTTGCGCGACGCCTGTGACGGCAATGAGCGACACCAGAAGAGAATTAGCCGCTAATGAGCGACAAAAAGAGTTCCCGTCTGAACGTAGTCTTTACGTCTAGTTGGTTATGCAATAGTAAAACCGAAAAGGGTCGCATGATGCAGCATAGAACCTTTTTTTTATTTTTTTATTATGAAAATAAAAAAGCAGAAAACCGAAGATGACAAAAAAAGAGAACAAAAATTGTTAAAAAAGTAAAATGAATGAAAAGCAAATAGGAAAACGTCAGCTGAAGAGATGAAGAATGCAGCGCAGAGGGGCCGAGTTTTTCTTGAGCTCACAGTGGCCAAGCACTGCAATAAATCGAGCGAAACAACAACACAAATAACAGGAACTGGCACAATAGCAACAATGGAAATCAGCGTCAATGCAATTGCTGTTAATACGTGTGTTTGTTGTTGTTATAGCAATAGTACCTGCTTCGCAGCAGCTGAAACATAATGAATTTCCAGAAGAAAAATGTGGAAAACGCGGCAATCCGGCAAAACAAACAACGCTGCCGACACAAAAATAACAAAAGTGAGGAAGCAATTTTACAACAATAACAATAAAAAACGCACAGCAATGCTGTGAGGCTGCAGCGAAGTAATAAAAATGCATGCAACAACAAAAACAACAACTGCAAGAATGCACGAGTTTAGAGTTGTTGATAATCATAAACTGCAGATGAGTACATGAGCATACAACAGCAACAACAAACACATAAGCGGCCTAAGCACAAGAATGCAATATGAATGCTTTGCAAACGGTGCAGTCAAGGCGCGCTAGATCATTATTTAGTAAAGTAAATAAATATTTTTGTTTGATAAATGCAGCGCTCGACAGAGACGCACACACATACACGCAGCTACATATAAACGCAATTGTATATGTGCGGTATATGCGTTTGCCTAAGCAACGCGGCGCAGCGTAGGCATGCCTCATTTTCAAATTCGTTGCTGTGTTGACTTTTGTCTAATAAGTGCTTTCGTTTTTGTTTTTTTTTTTGGCTGAGATCAAACACGAAAAATACGTAAAAATTCACATTTGTTGCCCCACGCTCGTATTGATAAGCGCGCGCCGCCGCTAGATCGTCTCGGCGCGATGTCTGCTTGCCGCTTTTGAAAAGAAATTTCTCATTTTTCATTACTGAACGCATCCTTTCCTTTGCTTCATGTGCGCTGCCGCTGATCGCTATCGGCGCCGCGCACTTGTCTGCCAGTTGCATTTGTGCGCGGCGCATGTGCAGCCACAGTTTTGCATATGTGTGCATTCAAGTGCTCGTGCCTCCACAAATATCTCGGTATTTACACGTGCACACATTGTTAACGCCGCGCCAGTTGCGCTTGTCGTTTTGCGCTGTTTTCGTCTGGGGCTTTGCTGCCGCGACCACTGAACTGCAGCGCATGGCACGCACGCAGCCTCAAAAACTCATTTCATGGAAATTTTCAATGCTTCAAACGTTGTGAAAAAAA